ATATAATGAAAAGGAAGCAGCGATGCACGTGACGAAGGCTCAATTGAAAGGGCAATGAAATAGCAGCCAAAGTTCAATAGAACGGTTGTTGAAGACCATGTCATTGACCCGACTAACCGAACTATCGAAGACCTGTCTAGAGTACCTCTAAACGGGAATGGAGAAAGATATTTTCTCCTAGGCTCATCATTGGAAGCTGAAGAGTGCGATCACCTTGTCTCACTCTTAAAAGAGTATGCCGATGTGTTATGAGATGCTCAGCATTCCCCCAAAAATTGCTTGTTATCGATTGAAGTTTGACTCAAGTTTCAAGTCGGTAAAGCATAAACAAAGGAGATTAGCACCACAGTATCGGGAGGCAGTAAAGGAAGCGGTAACAAGGATGTTGGGGTCACAGACCACTAAGGAGGTTCAGTACTCGACCTTGCTGTCCAACACGGTAGTTGTCAAGACGAAGACTAGGAAATAGAGGGTATGCATCGACTTCCCCAACCTTAACAAGGCATGCCCAAAAGATGCTTCCCTATGCCAAAAGTCAACTAGGTAGTTGATACAATCACCAGACACGAATGGATGAGCTTTTTAAACACGTATAGAGGATACCACTAGGTTCCACTTGCTGAGCAAGATTAAGAGAAAACTTCGTTTATAACCCCTAGGAGACATATTGCTACAAGGTGATGCCTATTGGGTTGAAAAATATAAGTGCAACCTATCAGAGACTGGTGACAAAGATGTTTTCACACATATTGGGTGACATTATGAAAGTCTACGTTGATGATATGGTGGTGAAGAGTCGTAAGGCCAGCAACCATCTCTTTGACTTGAGAAATGTCCTTTGAAAATACCAATTAAAGCTTAATGCCTCAAAATGTGCATTCAGGGCTATCTCTGGAAAATTCCTTGGCTTTTTGTTAACTCAATAAGGAGTGGAGGTACATCCCGATCAGGAAAAGGCGTTGACAGAGTTTGCAATCACCAAAAACTTTCAAGGAAGTTCAAAGGCTAATGGGAATGATAGTCACATTGGGCAAATTCATATCCCGAGCCTCGGATAAATGCAAGTCATTCTTCCAGTACATTAAGGGGAAAGGAGGCGTGCTCTAGGATCAAGAATGTTAAGAGGCCTTTATTAAGTTAAAACCTACCTAGTCTCTCCGCTAATCCTAACGACACCTTTGCCCGAGGAGTGTCTACTGCTATACCTAGTCGTGTTAGAGCACGTGGTTAGCGGGGCCCTAATGTGGAGCAATCATAGAGGTTTGAGCCTCATATTTTATGTTAGCAAAATTCTCCTGGATGCCGAGACATGATACTTACAGTTGGAAAAGTTGGTGCTAGCCTTGGTGAGCTCGGCTAGGAAGTTGCGTCATTACTTCTAAGCACACAAAATCGTTGTGCTCACGGATCAGCTATTAAAAGCCTCTCTTTTTTTTGGCAAAAGCTGACTTCTCAAGGTGTATATCAAATTGGGTAGTTAAGCTCAACGAATATAACATTGTGTTCGAGCAAAGAACGATGATCAAAGGGCAAGTTTTGGCTGAGTTCATCGTCGAATTCTCCCCCAAACACGTTGTTGATGAAGGACCAATCCCAAGTGCAGAGTTAGATGCCAATGCCGAATGAGGCCTTATGGGGGGTTGGAGCTTGTTCGTCGATGGATTATCAAACCATAAAAGGGCAAGGATAGGGATCATATTGGAAAGCCTAGAGGGAGACATAATGGAAAAAGTCGTGAGACTCGGCTTCCAAGCCTCGAACAATGAGGTAGAATACGAGGCCCTATTAGCAGGATTTAGGCTTGTAGTCGACTTAGGAATAGTAAAGCTTTAGATATTTTATAACTCACAGTTAGTGGTGAATTAGGTACTGGGTGATTACACGGCAAAAGATGAAAGAATGGTTGTTTACCACGCTTTTGTTGAAAATGAGCTAAGTCGTATCCCAAAGTACTCCATTCAGCAAGTGGGTTGAGGCCGAAATGCCCACGCTGAAGCATTGGCGTCCTTAGTCTCGGCTATTGATGAAAGGAATCGGAGAACTATCATAGTTGAATACAAAGCCAAGTCAAGTATTATAGCGGCATTATCAGAAGAATTCCTCTCTAGTGATTTGTAACCGAGTTGGATGGATGCAATTATCACCTATTTGAAAGATGGGGACTTACCTTGAGATAGGAAGGAAGCTCATAAATTATGACTGAAGGCGGCTAGGTTCTAGCTATCCCCAAAAGGAGAGCTCTACTGACGCTCATTTGGTGGACCATACATGAGAAACGTTCATCCGGGGTTAGTCCAAATTTTTTTATCCAAAATTCACGAGGAAAGCTACATTGCATACACTGGAGGGAGGTCGCTAGCCCACTGATCTCTCTCCTAGGAGTTTTGGTGGCCATATATGCAAAAAGATGCCTAACAATTCGTTAGGCGTTGTGAAAAATGCCAGTTATTTTCTCCAATACATAGGAATCTTGCCCAGGATTTGCTTCCACTATCCAATCCATGGCTATTCGCACAATAAGGATTGGACATAGTGGGACCGATGATGCAGGCCCCTAGAAACAAGCAGTTTCTTCTCATGGCGACTAATTACTTCACAAAATGGGTAGAGGCCGAGCCCCTAGCAAACATACGGGACACTGACACAAGGAGGTTCGTGTGGAAAAACATAATTACAAGGTTTGGCATACCTACCACCCTTGTATCTGACAATGGAACTCAATTCGAAAGTGAGCCATTCAAAGCCTTTTGTCAGCAATATGGGATTCAGAATCACTACTCTACTCCGACTTACCCTCAGAACAACGGATAGGCTGAAGTCTCAAATAAAAAAAATCCTAGACGGGATTAAGAAGAGATTGGAAAGTGCAAAAGGAGGACGAGTGGAGGAGTTACTAAGTGTTCTGTGGAATACTGAACCACACCGCTAAGCTCAACTAGGAAAACCCCATTCACCCTTGCCTACAGAATGGAGGCAGTAATACCACTAGAGATTAGATTACTGAGTAGCTAGTGGAAGCAATAATAATGCTATTCCTCCGGGGTTAGACTTTCTTGAAAAAAGAAGGGAGTCAGCGGCAATACAGATAACATCTTATCAGTAGGAAATGTCTCAGACTTATAACAAGAAAGTTAATCCTCGCGATTTTGTCCTGGGCAACCTAATTCTTAGACTTGTTATGGGATCAATCAAAAACCTAGCACATGAAAAGCTAGGTGCTAATTGGGAAAGGCCGTACAAAGTAATTTGAGTAGGAGGAAACAGATCTTACGAACTTGAAACTTTGGACAACAAAACGATGCCACGACCCTGGAATTCACCTAACCTGCGAAAGTTCTATTTCTGAAGTACATTCATAAATACGAACTCCAAAATGCCTTCGAAAAGTAAGGGTGCTCCCTGTAAGACGTTTCTTTTGAAAAGAAGTATCTTGTCAAGAATATTCTTCTGTATACTTCTTATAAAAGATTCCCTTGAGTTTCAAAATAAAGATTTTTTGAGTTTCTAAATAGAGAGTTAGTACAAATATGTTAAACCCATCCTACTGCCAAGGTAGGGAGGCAAACATCCTGATAAAAGTAGAAGCTTAAATTAGGCGTAGCCACTTTATCAGATCTAGACCCATGGTTAAGCATGACGATGTAAACCGATTAGGTAGTGATCTGATCCCAATTAGATCAACGAGTCGGTACATATGTAGAAACAGACTCTTAAGGACCCAAGGGGACCGAGTCTTAGTTTCTAGCTAATGTAATGACGGAGTAAACTCTTCGAAGAAAGGCCGAGCAAGAGCCATAACTTCTTAGAGCAAAATTTATTCCAAGTATCGAAAGGTACCTATCTTAGGACCGAGATCTTCGAAGAAAGGCCGAGCAAGGGCCATACTTGTTAGAGTAAAATTTTATTCTAAGTATCGAGAGGTCCCTATCTTGGGACTGAGCTCTTCGAAGAAAGGCTGAACAACGACCTTAACTTCTTAAGAGCAAAATCTACTCTAAAAACCCTATCTTGGGACCGTATACTTGTGAATAAATTTTATTTTGCTCACTGATTGACACTGCTTGACAAAGATCACTAAAAGGAAAGAATGAATATAAATTCAAAGAGACTAGATGAAAGGATCTTCATTATGTATATTCATAAAAAATAAAAAATAAAAGCTACAGTTTTTTTTGAAAACAAAAAGGAATAGGAATAGATAACAAATTCAAAATGTTTTTCAAAACACTTGTTTTCAGGACTGCGGCGGCTCGGATGAACTTGCAAAGGAATGGTGAGTATAAAGTTCCAAAGACTGGGGTGCACTTGTAGCAATCAGGGCAGCAAATCCAACCTTTGGTAAAATATGCCTTCTCCAAAGTACGAATCTGCAGAGCCAATGCATTTTCCACCTTCACCATCTCTTGTTCGAAGGCTGAATCTTCCAGATCCTTAGCTTCGGACTTGAACCGCTCAATCTCTTCCAAAAGATTGGAGTGATCAAGCTGGGTTTGGAAAAGCTCAAAGTTGGCTGCACTTTTGGATGCTTTTAAATCTTCTACCTCTGCTACAAGCTTCTTATTCTCATCAGTCAAGCTTAACATTTGAGCTTGAAGAACCGACATCTCCTCACAAAGATTTATGTACTCCTCATCAACAATTTCTTCTTCGCTAAGGCAGACATGTGATCATGAACAACATCCTTTATGGCCTTGTTCATCCTTATGATCCTCACCCCAAATTCATAAACCTTTTGAAGTCCCTACAAACCACAAGGAAAGGCGTGTAAAGGGAATTTCTAACTTTTCAAAGGCAAAGAAACAAAGGAAGTAGGAAAATACCAGAACCATCTGTTGGATAGCTTGCCGAGTGATCTCATCATTAGACAACGCCTTGAGTTGCAAGGAAGAATCACCCCTCTAGCAATTCTCACTGCCACATTAAAGTCTTCATCAGCAGAGTCTCGGATAGTGATTTTCCTCTTTTTTAACCCTCAAAACCAGTCTGAAAATAAGGATCACAGGCTTTGAAGGAAGAAAGACATCAGGTTCTAGAATCTTACGCTTCTTGGGGGCAGGTTTGTCAGATAATACAATGATGGATTCTAGAACCTGATCCACCTCGGCGTGAACAGAGGACTCAACATTGGCATCCATTAAGACCCGAGTTGAATCATCTAAAGGCTCTTCCAAAGGAATTGCATGATCCACCTTGACGGGGTTGACCGAAGCAAGATCTTTGAGTTCGGCAAGATTTTGCACCAGAACAGAAGAAGTTTCAACTAAAGAAAGAAAGTAGAGAGAATTCCTCACTGGCCTGTATCTCCTAGAGGGCCAGTTGAGGCTTTCTTACAAGAGCAAGGAGTTTGATCTCGAGCAATTTGGATTGCTTGATGTTCGTCGGCGAGAGCAGCATTGGGATGGGGAGGAACAATGATAAAAGACATGTAGGTTGGAGTATACCCAAACAAGGTATGGGCAGCTTAAAAGAGTTTGGGTCAAACTCAAACATGGGTAATCTGTAGATCCACTGAAAGAGCATTAGAGAGAGAGGGAGAGGGGGTGGGAAGATGTAACAACAGTAGGGTAGAAGAATTTAGGTTTAAATATGAATATAATTGTAAAGGATAAGAATGCAATACTTTCACTATTTGAGGACGCAAATAAAAAAAAAAAGAATATAGGTATACTGATATTTTAAGGTGGTATGATTAGTTAGATTGTAATTTTTTATTTTTGTTAATTTTTGTGTAATTAGGAATTTTGTTTTCATTATGGGAACAATTAGAGTTTTGACTGTGCACATATATATATTGTCTTATGTAATACAAGTTATTTATTCAATAATACAATAATTTTTAGAGTTATTATCTTCTTCTTTTTTTTTTTTGGTGGATTGTAAGTGTTTTATACACTTATAGCGATGATCTCTTTATGTTCCTTTGTTACCACTGCGTAAAGAACACTCGAAGAACAACTGATATCGATAAACTTGGTAGTTCACACCACCATGTTGGCAAATAGTAGTCGATTAGGTGCAAATCCTAATCTAGCCCTCCCAACCCCCGATAACAGCAGCTAAAATGAGTGTTATTTTATACGTTGATTAATGTAGTTTACAATTGTAATTACTAATCCACAATGCACCACTTTGCCAAAATAAAAATTCCCTCAATCATGTTCGTTCGATTAACCATGGATGAGAAACCTTCTACTTTGCGATTGTCAAAGTGTCATTTGTTAATTTTTTCAAGTATTTCTTGCTTTTTATTTTGTTTTTGAGTAGTGTTTTCCTTGCATCAAAGTATACTTTTAAATAGTAAAAAACTCTTTATTTTTTTCTGAAAAAAATTGTACGTACTGAATTTTTTTTTAATTATTTTCTACTTGATCGCATATATGTATGTTTAGATTATTACTTATATATCAAGATGCATATATATTATATTTAAGAAAAGTTGCCATCAAATATATGTTTGATTTTTTATTTTGCCTTTGCTTTTAAGAAAATAGCAAAAAATTGATAAAAACACTTTTTTGCTTATGAAAAGTATTTTAAAATATCACCGCACACACCTAAAATTTACGCCACCCGTGGTAAAAAAAAAAACTTCTACCACTTACTTTAGCAATATTAACATTTAGTAATAAACCTTTTAGCTAAATATATCCCCAATTTGGCATTCACCAGCATAGTTTGCATTGCATTGCATAGGGATTATTAGGTCCCTAGTTGTGTTTTTGCTAGGGCAAAGAACTTGCTTTCGTGCATGTGGAATATAAAACTGCATATGCATATAATTATTGGTGAGGAATTTTATGTTTATTAAATTTTTTATTTTAAGTGATGTGACACAGTATTGATGTGACAAATACTTTCAAACATATTCAGCAATGGGGGTTAAATTAGACCATCCAAAGTAATTTTTGTATAGATGCATATCAAATAAAATTACATAAGGGACAAAAATACTATACATTCTAATTTTGCATCTCACAAGATATTAGACTAAGAATTGGATAAGAGCCGACTAATAGTTTGCTCCAAAGGGGGATATATGATGATTTTAATTTTTTTCAATTAAACTATCATCCTTTCAAACTTAATTGCATTACTGTTATTTAACTTATTTTTATGATGATGTGCTTCTAACACACAATTTCAACTAAAAACATGTTTTACAAATAGTTGTTTAGCTTTTTTTACATTCAGAAATACGCTTTTAGTGTAAAGTCTAGTTTTAAAAATATGCTTTTATAAAAATAAGGGAGAATTACATTCATACTCTCTGAGGTTTGTCACTTAATCACTCAGACCCCTAACATTTAAATTATTACACATAGACCCCTTAAAATTTATACGAACGTAATACTTAGACCCCTAATATAAATATATCTGTTAATAAATTATACGTAAACCTCTCTGAAGTTTGTAAGTATATAATACTTAGACCCTTTAAGTTTAAAAAACTATATTTAGACAAAAAATACTCTAATCAATGATAGAATATCAAATATTTTAAATTTTACAATCAAAATTCATGTTCTATTGTATTATTTATTGAAATAAAATTAAAATTAAAAATTTAATTTTTTCTTATCGTAATTAGTATACAATTATACTATCTTTTGGAATAAAGCTAAACAATCAAACAAGGGATCTAAGTCATTCATAATAAAATTTGAATTTTATAACCAAAATTTATATTCTATTATGTCATTTATTAAAATAAAATAAAAAATAAAAATCTAGGTTTTTAAAAAAAAATTATATTTAGTATATAATTATATTATCTATTAGAAAAAAACAAAAAAAAAAATAAACAATGGGTCAAACTTAATGAACATAATATATTTTACTTTAGTTAGGGTAGTTTGGTATTTTAATTTGGTCATTTAAACGACCAAATTAAATTTTAATAGATAATTCGTTACGATTTTCTTTAAAAAAAATAATTTTTGATTTTTGATTTTATTTCAATAAATAATACAATATAACATGAATTTTAATTGTAAAATTTAAAATATTTGACATTTTATCTTTGATTGAAGTATTTTTAGTCTAAATATAATATTTTAAACTTAAAAGGTCTAAATATTATATATTTACAAACTTCAAAGGGGTTTAAGTGTAATTTATTAAAAGATATATATACATCAAGGGTCTAAGTATTATGTGCATACAAACTTTAAGGGGTTTGTATGTAATATTTTAAATATTAGAGGATCTAAGTGATTAAGTAATAAATTTAAGAGGTATCGGTGTAATTCTTCCTAAAAATAACGATAAATAGTGTGTTCAGGCAAAAAAGGGCACAACTTTTCGTTTTTCTTTTACCGCCATTTCTATGGAGGTAACTACCAATTAAAATCTCTGCACATAACAACAACACTGACTTCCTTGAGAAAACAGTCCAATTCATAGATAATGGATACCTTGTTCAATCTTTTCTTCTTCCTTTGGGCGGAGAAACCAGAGATACTGAAAATGACCCTCTAAAACCAAGCCGGCCAAAGGATAATGGAATCAATCACCTCTCTTTGTTGTTCTTCTTTTCCCTCTTTATTTCCATTAAAAAAAAATTCAACATCAATCATCCTGTCATCTTATTTTCTCAACAATTCCGTGTCAACTTGCTGTTGTGGACACTTAGAGTCCCCGAAAAACGGCAAGAGTAGTCAGAGATTCACCGCTGTGAAACAATGGGTTGTGTTCAAGGCAAGGGGATCAATTATAAGCCGCCAAGGGGCCTTGAAAAGTTGAAACTCGATAATGGGTATGTTAAAGGCGGTATGGGAAGCAGACCCATTGCTCAGAAGCAGCAATTGAAGGATCCAAACAATATACCTCGGCACGAGGGGGTTAATAAGAATGTGGGTGTTGTTGTTGATGGCAATGGTAGAGGAGGAGAGAGGAAGGTTAGTAGAGAAGGAGAGAGACGAATTAATGGCGGTGGTAATGTTTCACAGAGGATTACAGTTAAGAAGATTGATGCAGATGAGCTGATTGATGGTTGGCCTAAGTGGCTTGTCGATAACATTCCTGAAGATGCTTTGGCTGGTTTGGTTCGAAAAAGTGCTGATTCATATGACAAGCTTGCTAAGGTTTGTGTGAAAAACAAGTGATTGTATTTCCTCCCTTGAACAAACATTAATAGGAAAATTATTTCAGAATTGACCAATACAATGTTTTCCAGAACATACCACTTTCTTTGGGGCGATACCATCCTGTTGAGTGAAATTTGATTGTCTTAAAATTTGGCTTTAGTGAAGACTCGGGACTCTAGAGAGAAGCATGTTCCTCCCTGTAGAACCCACTCTTTGATTTTGACAAAAATATCTGAATATCTGACATTATCTTACTTCTTATGAGTGAGGTGATGCTCAATAACAGATTGGGGGATGGAGGGGGGAAGCCTATATAATTTGAAAACATTCATAGTTAATAGTGATATTTCAAACCTTAGAGGGGACAATCATCCCTCCTAGGCTAAATTTCTGGATTCGTCCATAGTTCAGTTTGATATTTTTCAGTGTTTTTAATATATGAATTGCTCTAAGCCGAAAACATATGATGAAAATTGAATTTGGTCTTTTATTTTTTCAGGTAGGCCATGGAACCTATAGCAATGTGTATAAAGCTCGAGACAGGGAAACTGGGAAGATTGTTGCCCTGAAGAAAGTAAGGTTTGACACTTCAGAACCTGAAAGTGTAAAATTTATGGCTAGGGAGATCATCATACTACAGAAGTTAGACCACCCCAATATCATCAAGCTTGAGGGACTAGCCACCTCAAGAATGCAGTACAGTCTCTATTTGGTTTTTGATTTTATGCAGTCAGACTTAACCAGAGTTATCTCCCGTCCAGAGGGAAAACTAACTGAGCCTCAGGTAAATTCTATACTTTCTGCACTTCTAAGTTATGAAGATGTTGTCTGATATTAACCAATTAGGAAAGCCATAATTTCCAAGAAAATTTGGGATTACAAAAAATTGCAAGTAGGGTAAAGTCTAAAAAACGATCAAAGTATAAAGGCAATGCAACTTAAAAAATGCGTATAAAAAAGAAGCATTCAATGCCATTTCTCAATTAGGAGGAAATTTGGATATGATATTGACAATTTGGATACGATATTGACAATTTGGATACAATATTGACCTTTTTTGGATAGAGAGAGTGTTAATAATGCTTGCTGGTTGGTACATGATTTGTGTTGACTAAATGCAGGTCAAGTGCTATATGAAGCAGCTGCTTTCAGGCCTTCAGCATTGCCATGGGAGAGGAATTTTACATAGGGACATAAAAGGATCTAACTTGTTGATAGACAAAAGTGGGATGCTGAAAATTGCAGATTTTGGGCTTGCAAATTTTTACCAACCTAAACAGAAGCGCCCCCTAACTAGCCGAGTTGTGACACTCTGGTATAGAGCTCCAGAGCTACTTTTAGGCTCCACAGATTATGGAGTTGGTATTGATCTTTGGAGCACAGGTTGCCTTTTGGCAGAGATGTTTGAAGGAAGGCCCATTATGCCTGGTAGGACAGAGGTAAAATTCCTTTAGTACTAGAAACATTCACAATTGTTCAGATGGAACATAAGAAAGAAATTGTTTTTATTTCATTACTAATTTTATTTGATGTAATAAAAAGGTAGTACACCACTCTAAATTATGTGTTCAAGGACTCAAATGCTACCAAAGAAAAATGTAATGATTGCCCTTTCTTGTGTTTTCACAAATTTTTCTTTAGATTTCATTTGGATATGCAATCAATGATCTTCTATTGGAAGCTGATTCACTTTCTTGAGATTTTTGTGCATTCAGGTTGAGCAACTTCATAGGATTTTCAAGCTTTGTGGTGCACCGCCAGAAGATTATTGGAAGAAAATGAAACCACCTACAACCTTCCGACCACCACAACCGTACAAACCCAGTTTTCAGGAAGCCTTGACAAATTTTCCCAACTCTGCATTTCGTCTTTTGACCTCATTTCTAGCTTTGGATCCAGCATATCGTGGCACTGCTGCTTCTGCTCTTGAAAGTGAAGTGAGTTGAAATGGCATAGCACTTCTGCTAAATGATTGTTATGTTCTGCCATTAAAGGATGAAATCGAAAATTAGTGGTTTCCAGATCAGTTAATGACTATTATTAATATACTTTTAGTGAATTCAAATGGTTTCCTTTAAGACTGAATTTAGTTAGGTTTTCCCTTTGGAAGAAATGTTAGCATTCCATAGAGTCTTCTGAGGCAAAGATTAGAAGAGAGGAAATTGAATTAATTTGATGGTGGAAGCATAGTTAAAATTTTTGCACCACATAAAATATCTATATTCCTATTAAAATACAGGTCAAACCAAATTCTTACCATTTTATGTTTTTTACTCTTCCCTAGATTTGTCTAATGCACAGGCACAGGTAACTTTGGGTGGTTGATTTTCTATTCTTGGTAGAAGTGATATTAACATTGATAAAATAGTAAGTATAACAAACGACAAAAAGTATAATAACTGATGTCCCTCTTATGCAGATCAGGAGCTTTAACAGGAGCTCGACATCAGCATAAATCTCTAATTTGTTCCATTAGTTAATCACAAAGCAGTCTGTACAGAATTCCAAAAACAACTGTATATCCAAACCTATCTGTATCCCATACCAGTATCAAACTCTCCTGGTGGTATCTGTACAACCTATTAGGATCAGTGGCAGCAAGGGCTTTCCTGATATTCTTCTGCATTAACATCACCATGCCTGTTTTGATAACCTTAACTCATGCCGGAGTGAAGTAGGTATTTAGAATAAGCAAAAACCCAAAGGATCTGCTTGTCCTTAATGATAATTACTCCCTTTGAGACTTAATTCCACTTGCTTCACATATTGAATAGAAGTATTCCAAGGATAAAAATTGTCTACTCTGCTAAGTTGTCCACCTTTTAGACTGCAAATCTAAGAACAGCATCCACCAAATCCTCCTTAGAACAGTCTTTGGCATAGGGGAATAGTTTCTTTAGTTATTCCTCTCCAACCGCACATGACACACAGAGACTTCAGAACAAGCTTCCTTAAAGGAGCATGGAAGATCATATCCTTGATCTCCAAGGCTCCAAAGAATTACCACAAACCAACCTAACCACCCCATTACCCATGAACAGAAAGTTGATTCAGAATTGGGAAAAACTTCTCTCCGTATTCTTCAGAATTCTGACAGAAGCGTACATCTAGAATGTTGAAGAATTCCTATTCAAGTAGAGATTGAATTTACAGCTGTCCCTCCAGGGCAAGCCTTGCAATCTTAAAGTGCTTACACTTTTAGGACCAATTCATATCAATGCACCTCATCTCCATGGCTGCTAAGTAACACACCTCAAATCTATTTCAATATCAAATCATGTCCTCTAGTACTGCATGTCATCCAAATGTTCCTGGTATTCCTAATTGTCTGCTGCAAAAGATTCAGTGATCACATCTGATACCATTGGCGAAAGAGCATTTTCAGGCATATCAAAATCTTCGATTAATTTCGCCAGCATGATCAGTGGGAATTAAGTCACGGTTGTGAGCACAACGAGAAGTTGGCTAACTTGTTCTGAGTTATCTTTTGTATGTCTTTGTATCTTACCTTTCAGTGAAGGGAAATCTATGGCACACTATGATTATGTGTTTACTTCACCTAGGTTTCAACCAATACTTTATGAATGGATGTAAAACTCAAATTTTCAAATTTGCAAAGCAAATTCATGGGAATAGAAAGTGACATTTGGTATGGCATTATAAAAATATTTTCTTCTATTTCCTTTTCTTTATCTTGCTGACTTGCTATTCATCATGATATTAAATGACCTGGAAAAGGCTTCTTGTGTTGTACAGTTTTTTATTTCAAGTCCATTAGCATGCGATCTCTTGGGTCTACCTGTGATGAGCAAAGAGGAGGATGAGCCAGCACAACTCAATTATAGGAGGAGGTATGTTGTCTCTTTAGAATCTTCAGTAGCATTCCTGATTACACAGCAATTTCATCTGTTTAATTTTTTTTTTAACTGTTTCATCTGTTTAATTGAATTACAAGTTTTATCTAGGAAAATTGCAATATACAGTATTTCGTTTTTCCTAACAAATACAAATATGAAAAATAAATCAATAAAAATTTGTTTGCCTTGTGTTATCAGTTATCAGTTATCAGCAAATAGTTTGCCAAACAATTTGAAATGTGAAGAATACAATGGGTAAATTCCCCATGTTTTCTGATTTGGTAATGTGTAATTCTTGTGGACCAACTTGACAATATGTAATTGGAAAGAGATCACCAGGGGTGTTCAAATTTTTGATTACTCGCAAATTCCGATCCTAGGCTGCCCGAAAGAATCGGGTAGGCCAACAGAAGGTCTTTTGGTATTCCGCAAAAAATCGGGTAAGAATGCGAAATACCTACAAAGTTTTTGTATTCTTACTCTACCCTACCTGTATATATATATATATATATATATATTAATCTCTAAAAATTAAAATCCAAAAATCTAGAAACTCTAATATTTTATTGATATCTATGACTTTCTTGTTGTGTTTTATTGTAATTATTCATGTATTATCGAATTTATTGTGTTAGTTACTTTGTGCAGGTTACTTAATTAAATTATTAAAATGATCCAAAAACTAATAACTAAAAAATATGTGTTCACCCGATTTCCTACCCGATTGTTTTGGAAGGAATTCGGGTAGGAATAATACACTTGATCGGGTAGGATAGGTCAAAAAAAAAATTCTTCCACAAAGTATTGGGTAGGAAAATGGAACACCATAATTCCTATCCGTAGGGTAGGGTGAACACCCCTACAGATCACAACATGAGGTCATTTAAGAGTTATGATACCTGAAAGCAGACACAACGTTTAATTCTGCAACATTGTTTAATGTAAACATGATGCCCCCAATATTTCGGAAACTTGAGTTGGTCAGTTGATATGCATATAGCTCTTGAAGGCAAATCTTACATGCTTGGAGCTATATCCAGCAAAAATGACAGTGAAAAATAATGGAGTATAGTGTCATGAATTCTAATAGTGTGTATGCCCGTTGATGTTAAAAGTTAAATAACAAAATGAACTCATTTAAATGCCACCGCAAACATGATGGGCTGATTTCTGTGATCTGTGAACACAATGGGTAGAATGTTTTGGTGGATGTCCAAATGCATCATAAGTAAACTGGTTCCCTATTCTTTCCGTATTACAGGAACAGCATCTCGAAAACAAAGCAAAGGTCTCGGAGGAACCGTGAAGGTCATAGAAGAAAAGACTCAATTTCTGGACAAGCCAAAGAATTTTCTGGATCTTCTAGAGAGGTAAAATCTAACTTTATATTTAGTCAGTTCTACAAAACTGACATTTCAGTTGAGTAGCACAATGAAATTTTATAGAATAATTTGGTTTCAGTTGATGAGCTGAGAAATTCAAGCAGTTCACAGGCATCTTTGTGTGAAAATGAACATTATGGTGGAGAAGAAAACATTGTTTCAAATTAATTCATTCGCTTCATATCCAATGTTACAAAACACTCCCACTTTCCATTAAAAATATCTGACCTTTCAAATAATTTTACAAACTACAGCATGTTGGACAGTTCCAGACAGTCTAACTACTAGAAATCTCTGGTGGGATTGAGAGTTCTTTTTATTACATTAATGTTGAGCTTCTGGATCATGCTCCAAGCTGTAGGTCACATGCTACATCGACATTGTATTCCCAAGCTTCATTATTTCTTGTCTTTTGCTTGGTTAGATGGCCATACGACTAGGAAATGAATTCCCAAACAAAAGGAAAGGTTGACATTTCCTCTGACTGAACAAAATTCGGAATAGAACTACTTTTTTTTTTCTTGGTTTCTTTGTTTCTTCTTTTCCTGAATTCTTTGGGGTAGAATTTGAAGCATTGACACCATTCTTCCCTTAAATGCCCAGTTAGCGAGTGCTACAACTCCTTTGGTGAGGATTACTTTTCTTTTACTCTGATTATTTGTATTGTTATAAGATGTATAGTGACTGATTTGGCTCGTTACAATTTCTATCGGTTTTTTCCTTTTCGCAGGGAAAGCATGCAGAGGCAAACTTACAAAGCCAAGAGATAATTAACAGTGCCAGCAGCACTTCTTCTGGAAGAAAACCAAGCACAATTCACGGAAGCCCGCCTCCTTCACCTTCTCCACGTTTTCATTCTCAGCGTAACCGATCTGCGAAAACTGAGGCACATCCTAACGCTCTAAAGAATGTCAAGAACTTCCCCCTCTTACTAGCCTCTATGACAGAGACAGCCAAACACCTTGAAGAAAATAGATTGGGACTCAATCGCAGGTCCATCTCTACTGTTGATTTCAGGACTCTTGATTTAGAGAAGATATCAAAACTCTTTGGCGTGCCAGATAATTAGGCTAGATTATGCTGCTGGGCTCAAACATTTCATGGTACACACATTACTTTGCCTTGTATTACCTTCTATTTAGTTTACCTGAGCTATGAATAAATAAATATAGTTTTGTGGCTATTTTATGTCAGTTATTGCTTGAGTTGATATGTTGAGTTTGTTCATGGCCGACCCCATGAAGCAACAATCTGATAGTTTTGTGGAGATTCATATTAATCTTTTATATGGATAAATTAGTTTTGGTGTAGCTAACTACATACAATGGCACAAAGTTAGTAGTTTGGTATTTCTTATAGTTTCAAACTAAACCAAAATTTTGACATTGCCATTTTTCATAGAATCGTTGCTGGACATGACTGCATGATACTTTGATTGAGCGCAAGCATGCATGTTTTTGTGTGCATGTAATAAGTTCTACCTTGCAGCAAAAAGAGCTTAGTTTAAAGATTTATACTAAGCCTATTCATAAAATCTATGGTGCTTCTTTTAAGCAATTTAACATGCCACTATCTCTCATAAAAAAAAATGCCACTATCAGAGCAGGATCCCTCAAGTCGTATTTAGTTTGTCATGTCATGATTTAAAAGTACCATTGCATTTTGTTGATTCTTTGTTTGGTTCCTGGAGGAGGGGTATGTGAAGAAAAAAATGGTACACAAGCTCAAAATCAGCTTCTAATCAACAAACCACTTTAAATTCGGATACCTATGTACATAAATAACCGTTTGTAATAGGACTCGTATTATAGAAGAAATGCAGTTCTGGTTCCCCCCTCCTCCCCTCACCCCCACCCTGGCGAATGCCTCAGGTGTAAATCATGATTATATCTGCACATACATTAATTTCTGTGACCTGGCCAGCCTAGTATTACAGTTAACCATCATACTGATGCATAATGCAGATGAGGTCCATCGATGCTCAGTAAAGATGAATAGGAAAAAAAATAAAAGGAAACCCATTATAGCATATTCGAATTCATAATTGATGCACAAAATTTCAATACACACACTAACATGTCTGACGATGGAGAAACTTCCCCTTGATAGTATAACAGCAGGGAGCTGAAAGGTGAAGGGGAGCACTCGCTATCGGTATACAGTTCATGAATCATAGAAGTTATCTGTGACTGTGAACTTGCTCTTGATCCACTTGAAGCTGTTCCTCAATGAGGATTTGAGCTTACCTTCCGCGGTGTACAGGTTATAGGATGCAACCCTTTTTCTCCTCTTCACCTCCGGATTGTTCCCGGGTCCGTTGAAGCTATATGACTTGGTTCTGTCTTCAAACCCAAACCTGGCTTCTATGTATGAAGGTGAGTAATCTGGAAATGATTTACTTTTCTCCATTATCACTGGCTGGAGCCGGAGGCGAAAGCCAGGCCTTTATATATTCGAAGGAAATCTCAATATGTGGTGTTAAGTTTCAACACGATGCAAATGACAAGATTAACATGAATAATAAATAAGTCATATTAATGTCAAAGACGAGTAATTCGTTAATTTGTATTTCATGAATAAAATGTCAATTTTTTAATTGTTATTCTCACTTTTTGATCTTGTGTTATAGAATTATTGTAGAATTAAATGATCGTTAATTTTGGTTTTGTTAGTGTATGGGTCGAGTAAATTGTTAATTTAAAGGTACTTATGTGTGGTAGATTTGATTGACTCGATTGATAGATGCAAATATGACATGGCACAGATTCGACTCGATTAATATTATTACAAAAATATTATGTGCATTAGTGTAATCTGAGTGGGCCATGAGATACAAATGATTGTGTATAGAATTTATATGGTACAATTAGCATGTTGGGAATATTCAATTCAGTGGAGGGTACCACATCCCACCAAACTTGATTATTATTGTAGGACATTAATAAGTATATTCCACAAGGTTAGTTGAGTTGGTTACAAGACCAGTTTCATGAAATGGGAGGCCTTCAGCCTTCAATTGATTCACATCCTCTCAGTTCGAAGATTTCTCTATTTTCCCCCAACTCGAATCACTCAACATCAAACCATTGGAATGGATCCTACTTAAGGGGCTCACTTGTGGGTCCCATCGTTAACCGCAATTGATGTACATCTTAAGTTTGTCTAATTAGATTGAGTGAAGATAGGAGTGTTAAATTATCAATCACAAATACGATGCGAATTTGATTCAATACGAAAATTGAATATGACTCGACCCAATTAACACAAAGAATAAATGGGCTAGATTAAAGTTAAAAACAAATAACAAAATTAATTAGTGTATAAGTAGAAAATATATGTATTTTTTAATTGTTTTAATTTTTACATCCAATTATATAAGTTGTTTTTAGAATTACATAATTTTTTTGACACAATATGAAACGAATCGAAATGAAACGACTTAAACATAACACAACAGGACATGAACTAACAAAGTATATCGTGTTGTCCATGAATTTGATCCTCCAAATTGGAAGATGATTTTTCCAATTTGAATCATTAGGTCCTATTCATGGGGTCCATGACTTCAACCATTTACGGTGGGATTAATCATACTAGGGCAAAAAAAAAGGGAAAATTTAAAATTAAGGGGATCTTGATATGGAGTAGATACCATTTGTCCCGCTAAAAAATTAAAAGAAAAATATGACAGTAAAGTAAGGGAAAAAAAACAAGGCATCTAGCAAAATATCTACACTGTAGCATGGTAGTGTTGGCACTGGTGATCTAGTTTTTTTTTTTTCTCTTAAAAAACATGGGATGAAGAGTCATGGGGCTGTGATAGTTTTTTTTTTTTTTTTTGTTGGAAGGAAATGATATAGAGTTGAACCAGTTGGTGGGATGATATAATGCCATGACTGGTCGATGGATGGTGGTGGTCCTGCTGGAGCCCACTAGAGTTAAGGCCTAAATAGTGGGACTCATCAGAGTTAAGTTTTTCAAGTGGTGGAGTCCAATTGGATATATGAATAGCAAACAATGTGCAAGTGGTAGCTCCACGTCATGCAAAGGCAATGAAGATGCTACAGTGTTTTCTCCATTAAATTGTGGTGGGCCTATTTTGTCTCCTAAATCTCTCGGTTCAAAAAAAATAAAATAAAATAAAATAAAACGTTCAAAACCTCTAGCTTTAGTGCTAGAACATATACATATGCCCAGCAACTTCCTTAAATTACAATTTGCTTCTCAATTATGCCTCTATCTGATTTTAGTCCCTTAAATATTACATTTTTTATGTTGCATCTCCAATTATATTTATTGGTCTCACAATACCCCTTGCAATTATCATATTTCTAATATTGCACTTCCAACTATGATTATTAGTTTTATATTATCATAATTTTAGACATTGAAAATGAGTTTTTTGTATAGATGTAACCGTTTTCTCTCCAAAGCATGACAGACCATTGATTTTGAGACATTGTGAAATGAATTCATAGAGTTGAGGGACAAATTGAGAAATTCAATAATTGAGGGGGCAAAGTAAAACCAAAGTCATACTTGAAAAAGGATCAAAGTGTAATTTTTCCTCTTTTTATATCTCCTTTTCTTCCTTTTTGTGGGTGTGTGGAAGTAACAAGAAACCAGGAAGAATAAAAAACAGAAGAGAAACCTATCTTTTGTATTATCCTTCAAGGGCAGATAGAACACCCAAGCACACTTGTACATGAACAAAAATGTAGAAAGAAAAAATCAAGCATAAGAGATATGATTAATAAAATTAGCATTCACCCTAATACTTTTTTGATTATCCTCTTAATTATATCAATGCTAGATTAAATAGTATCTATTAATTAGAAACGCACTAAAATATAATAGATTATCTAGAATTTGTGCCTAGTCCTAACTACATTATTTTAGATCCCCCTTTTTCTCCATTTATTCATCATTTGAATCAAAACCTGATACAAAGATAAACATTTTGTTGTTTCTAGAAGGTCATGGTAGAGAGAGAGAGAGAGAGAGAGAGAGAGTGTCCATAACCTCATGCCGGAGCCACAGCCCATTAAGCACAGGAAATATCAATTAAATGGTTGGCTGTTGTTTTAGTAGTACAAATTGATGGGACTGCATTGCATTTTATGCTGTCTGTGACAACTGAAACTAAATCACAAGCAGTAGGCATCCAACTCAGCAGCCACCAGCAAATTTTTTTTTTCTTCAGAAAAAAAGGCAGAGAAAAAAGAAAAGAAAAACTATTATGCAAAGCTCTAACATGTGCAGCTCAGCTGATTGCTTCCACTTGGTTTATGACTACATCTGCAATGCATCTAAGTCTGCAGAGGCACTACTCATAAACACCATTACTCAAAATTGTTAGTCATACCCTGGTTATAGGCTCTCATCTATAGCAGACTCTGGAGAAGTAATTACTCAACAACATTACCATATTTATGAGAGGTTGATTCCTGAACTCGAACAATAATGCGGTGCTAGGGTGAATAAACACTTGTATTCAGTCAAATCCATCGAGATGTATAGAATAGGTCACAGTTACAAAGCAACTCAAGAGAGTGGGTTCCAGAAACTATTATCTCCAAACATTATCCCATAGTGAACCACCATAAACAATGAGCTCAATTGTGAGCATAGCACATACACACCTCTTTTATATCCACTTGGAGGCAATTCCCAATAATTACACTGAAGAGTTTATTCAGTCAGATTGATCGGCTGAAGAAATCAGCTCCTTCCTCAACATCATCAGTTTTGATGCTTCCACATTGAGCCATTAATATTCTGTACACTCTCTTGGAACAAACCTCACCTAATCTTCTATCCTCTCCAAGTAACCCTTCTGTTGTCAAGTCCTTGAGCAGAAATTCCTTCTCATGCACCTATCATTTTATATAAAATGTCCAAGTTAGATCAAGATTTCATTAGTGCTCCCCTCAATAAGCAAGAAGACAACCAAAGAAAGGAAATGCAGAAGGTGATCTTTTTACTGCTGAACATATGGAAGTTTGAAAAAAGAAATAAATTGATGGTCTTAATAGATCCATGGTAGAAAAGTACTGTAGCCGACAGCACATAGCATTTCAATTGTCAGCAGTGTGGATTTGCCACTCCTTGGGTACAAACATACAGTAATTTCTGGAGAATCATGTTGATATCTAAGTTTACAAAAGCTTCAGAAAACTATGAAGATACAAATCTAGGGCTCAAACATATCACGGAACTACTAAGTTCTCTCAAATGGAAAAAATGAAATTGTGAAACTGAATTCTTTTGTAACTTTACAAATGGTAACAACAAAATTTATACGAGAGAATTTAAGAAATATGTTGCAAATATTATATCTCCCGAGTGTTAAAAACTTATACCATTCACCACGACGCATGCTATAAAACTTCATCTGAAGATTGAGCTGGCAATGTAACTGATTCAATTTTTCCAGTTCCGCTACTATGAATTTGATTTATAAAGAAAACACAATAGTTTTGTTTATATTACGGATTTATAGTCGTTTAGAACAACCTTTTGATCCCAAGATTTTCAGTCCCTTACTATAATATTTCTAAATATCACAATTAAATATCACTACCCAAGTCGGCCATGTGGAAAAGGGCGCAACAAAAATGGCTCAAAGAATCGGCCGACTGTTCAGATATTGTTCCATGTTCTGTGTAAGTCACGAGTTTCACTTGACTCATGGTTGACGAAGTCTCAATCAACTCAGCAAGTCATCATCATTAGCTCACAGTGTACCATCCGATACTATTTCACGATGCCACAAAAAGGTTGAATATCTCATCATGTCTGATTTCCTTTCTATCTGTCAAGTCATCTCATACGTACTGCTATAATACTGTTTCTGGATGCCAGGATCAATGTGTCTCAGTGCCTTCTGAGTAGATGACTGATACAACCTTGAACCATGTTGCCTAAGTGATAAATCATAGTCACCTTGGCCTGCCAGCCATCATTCTCAGATATTTTACAATACTATAAATATTATTTCTTTGGTAGAAATAGTACTTGGAAGTGCTAAGCCAAGAATTGTATCAAACTGCAATATCATAATACATGAGCAAGTAGGGGCATTATGGTCTGCAAAACACTTGGACAGCCATGGCATTCTCATAAGTTAGAGGACCAAGATGGTCCACACCATGGGAAATTCAAGCTAGACTTGGGCAGAAAAAACAATGACCATGGAATTTACAGTCCGAGAACCAATAGAGTTTTCCTATTAATGAAAGCCAATTCAATGATCCATGGTTATGATCAACAGGCTGAGGAAAAGATAAACTCTAAGGGCTATTATCTTGAACCCCAAAGATCCAACAAGTGAGTATGAAATTCGTTGAACCACGTGAAAATATAAAAGCCTAACTATTAAAAAGGAAATTTCAAGCAATATTAGGGAAAAATAAGACTCCTTTTGGTTTGCGTTTTAAAAAATAGCATTCGAAAAATGCTTTTAAGAGTTTTGGAAATCTGTTTTTTGTGTTGCAAAACTTGTTTGGTTATATGCTCCAAAATTAGTTTCACGGAATACAAAACAATAAACTTATTTGGATAATAACCCAAAAAATAATGAAAACAAAAATGTGATAGTAGTGAAGGGTGGTGAAAGTGTGGTGGTGGTGGTGGTGGGAGTGTGGCGGTGGCAATATTTGTGGAAGGGTGGTGGCAGGAGTGCGGTGGAAAGGTGGTGGTGGAAGTGTGGTGAACGTCGTGGTGGTGGTGGTATGATGGTGGTGTTTTCTAAATTCTGAAAATATTGTTTTCTAAAACAAATGATCAAAATTTCGTTTCGGTGTATTGTTTCAGTCACCTAGAAACGAAAACATTTCAACGTGTTTTGAAAATGTTTCTACCCTTTTCGAAAATATAATAAAAAAAATAAAAAATTTAAAAATTATTTTTTCAAAAACATTGGTCAAATCATACCAAAATATCTTGAAATACATTGAAACATTCCGAAATAATTGTGCGAATGTATTAAAATGTAACAAAATATTTCGAAACATTATGAAACACCTCGATGTATTAGAATTTCGATTTCATCACTGATTCGTTTCGGTCTCCTTGGAAACGGAAGCGTTTCGGGTGTTTCGAAACGATATTTTGATCTTTGTCTAAAACACACAACAACTCTAACTTGTTCTTTAAATTTACCTAATTTTTGTTCTCGGTTTTCAAAAAACAAACAAAAATACCTGGCCAAACAGTTTTGTCCCAGAAACTATTTCGGAAAACAAAAAACAATTTATGAGATCCAAACCAAACAAGACCTTAGTATTTTGCTCAAATGGGCCAAATGGCCCATGGCCCTGGGTCCATGTGGCCAATGCTACGGTGAGGTTGGGATAAGTCTTTATATATATTCCCTTCATTACAACTCATGCAAACTCGGAACACCAGCCCCTAACCCCTGGTTGGATATTTTTTGGATCAGGAGGAGGGGTCTTCTGTTGTTTGAGAATTGAAAATGGTTTGGTGACGCAAAAAAGGATTGTGAATTGTTGTTTAAAACTTCAAATTTCTTCCATTGATCTCCACCTTTTTATTTTGCAAATTTTTTTCTTTTGTATCTTCAAATTTTCCAATATTGAGCGAGAAAAAGCACATCTGCTAAAAGAAATCAATAAACCTCATTTCTTGTCATAAGCTTATCCATCAAGCCCATTCCAATCAAACTGGGTATGCCCATAAGCACAATAAATTTCAACAAAATAAAGAAATGTAGTTAAAAAATAACATGGATACTCATACCAGGAAGTCAATGGTGAGGTTCGCAGCAAAATTAATACGAAAAATCAACCGAAAATTATGGAATCAAATTAAAATTTAGAAGAAAACATACTAGGTAACTTAGATATAACGTATACGAAAGATTAGAAAAGTAGAACAATAAACTAAGTGTAAAAACTTAAATAATAATCAAAGACTTCTCCTCTCAAAAGCTATATATAATCATTAATAAGAATATATAGGGGTATAGGATAATAGGGGAAGCATGTCTTACTATATTTCTCCAATGTTCCACAATCAACTTTGGAAAGATTCCCAAAAGTTTTCCTAGTAGGTGCAAAATTTCAAGTCAAGTGTTGTCCTAATTCCACAACTCACTTTCAAGTAAAACTGGTCTACCCTCTCAAACCAACTTTAAGAAGAACATAAGCAATGTTCTTTTTAACACCCCCCACCCCCCAAAAAAAAAAAAATGCAAAAGGCCAAAGCTCATTCTTATTTCCCATAATTGGAACCCCTGAGAGAGCCAACCATCACCTTTAAGCAAAAAGGTCTACTTCCCCACAACCCTACAAGGTTTTAAAATGACTACTATTTCGCTATTTTAGAGAATAATCAATTTCTAATTCCTAAGCCTTAGAGAATTTCCTAGCAAACTGTCATGAGTAAACTGATAAAAGAAAGTGATTTCTTGAGTCTTTGGGATTGTTCTCGTGTAAGTCATTTTTTAACAAACTAGTTAATATTCGTTCACACTCCGTGTTTTATCCCTCTGTAATGATTTGAAAAACTAAGGTGTCTATCAAGGTGCAAGTTTGTGCATGTACTGTAGCTCATGGTAGGATAAATATAAAATATGTGCTTCGAAGAAAAAGACCGTTTCTTTGCATTTCTCCAGAGTGGTGTCATGTGTGCAGGTGCAAGGGAGACTATTGATTATTTGTTTTTGCATTGCCCTATCGTTTTGTTCTTATGGTCCAAACTTTTTAAAGTAGTTGGTCTGTCCTAGGTGATTCTTGAACATTTTCAGCAAAGCTAGTCGCTGAAGGAGGAATTTGAAGGGTTGGGGCGGCATAAAAGAGCGATAACTTTACAGCATTGTGGTTTTCTCGCCATCGTATTGGTAAGATGGTTGGAAAGGAACTTTGAAATTTTTGAAAATAGGAGACTGGAAGGAAGATTTATGGATCGCATAAATTTGTTGGCATCAATGTGGGCGTCTGTTACGAAGCAGTTTGATGGCATACTGCTTTTTTGTATTTTGATGGATTGGAAGGCCTCGTGCGATACATAATTTTACGATTTAAGAATTGTATTTTTCATTTTGAAGGTTGGACATTTTGTCCATACATAGTGCTTTTGAATGTATCAATTTTTATTATTTTAAATCAATAAAATTGTTATGCTTCCTATCAAAAAATGCTAAAGATAGGATCACTACCATAAGAGGGCAAACTTTGACATCTGTCATGAATACACAAGCATATTTACTATATAAACAAAAGACTGGCAATTTTATCAATACTCACTGATTTACTTGGATCCATGTAAACATTCAATAGAGATTTCATTGTGGGGTATTTCCTGCTTATAGCAATAGCAAATCGTGGTTGTACCTTTGGGATAGCTACCAATGCTTTTAACCTGAACAAAAAAGGCAAAATCAGGGGAGCAATAAAGACACACTACCCACATAGGTATCAATTTAGGCATTAAAATGATCTCGAAATCATGACCTAAGTGACACTGCATATGGAAAAGGATCACTCAATGCAATATTACTACTGTTCAACTTTCCCAAAGAGGTACCAACTGTTTCTACTCTGAAGTGACTATATAAAATAATCAGGATGGACATCCTTTACTAGGTGAACAAGACAGAAAATCTAAAGCTAATACAATTTCCCCAATCAATAACATCTACAATGGCCCATTTAAAAATAAACGAGCATCAAATGACCGAGTGAGAGTCGAGCAGAAACTCTCACAAGTATAGTCAATAAGGTTAAGAAACAGACCTGGACTGTCCAAGTTGGAAGTAAAATACAGAGTAATAAATTAAAAATACACACTATAACTAAATGTTTCAATGGCAGAGCCAAACGTTCTATACAATTTATATGATTCACAAACTACAATGTGCACACCAAACAAAATATCCCACTCCATGAAGCTCCCGTATGGTTATCAAGAATATGGAGAAAAAAAAATTATAAAAGAAAAATTGCAAGGAACGAGTACAACTATTAGCAGCCACATTCCAATTTCTTGTTTACTTTCCTGGAAAAGGAGGGGGGGGATGTGGTGGGTGGGGAATTTACTTCATAGGCACAGCAATCAAATGAAGCATAAGGGCTGAACTTCTTTACTAAACAGTTTGCTTCAAATTCCTTGTCAAACTCCAATTTCACATCCAGAATTGACATGCTAAACATAGAAGCAATTTGGAATTCAAAAGTGCTCTCTTTCTCTTAACCAACATATCAAGTATAAATTAATGTAAACATATTATATTTTATCAAAAGAGCATCAATTTAAGTGGTTTGAACATGTTTATAAAAGATCTATCATTGCACCAGTGATTTGTCGTTAAATTGGAAGCTATTATTTTTGTACTGTGTCAAAATTACTTTTGGTCTGTTGTTACCTCGTCTTATCATTGATAGGTAGCACATCACTCTTCAAACATGGCTCTTACTTGATAGAGCACAATGCGGGAACAGGATTCATGTAGCTGACCAAACAGTTGGGATAAGACTTTATTGAGTTAAATTGAGCTGTGATGTGTGAACACCAGATATAATAGCTAAAAAAATTCCTCGCCATTCACCCCCTAAGACATTAGTCCATGTGTTTGAGCTCTTCATATAGTCTCCGCTATGTACACTTTATTGTCTCATGGATGTAATATTGGACAAACTTTTTCACTTTCACAACCCATCTTCGCACTTGTAGTCCGTCAAAAAAAAAAGAAGGAAAAATAAAATGCAAAGCATAAGCATTTGGTCATACCAATCCTGTTTGAAAGAGAAAAGGTCATTTAAACCACATGTGGTATCAAAGGCATGCCCTTGACTATTGAAACAGAAGTTTCAGCAAGGAATCTGTCTAGTTAAATAGTCCATAACACTTCACACCGTGAGGTTTACCTGATGTGTGTAAACGGCCAAACTATAGACTCAAATCTTTGTTCTTTTTAACTATTCATTAAAGCACTGAATTTCAAAGTTTCTTGGGAGCTGATATCAATAAATATAGGGAGCCAATTCCCCTTATGGAAGAACTTATAAATTAGCCTTCATCACTAGAAGTAATTTTTATGGAGGAGAAGGTGAAAACTACTATTCTGATAGGTTATGGATTAACCTTGCAACTGAAATAGACATTGAAAAATATAAAAAGGTATCACACTCAGCAGCAGGAAACCAATTTACTACATCCAGAGGACCTCAACATCTAAATACTTTACACAACACAGAAACTTAGTTTCAAACAACGTATAAAGATCATGTAAAGTTGAAAACTAGGAAATATCATATACATGTCCACATAGAACATGAGTATGAGTATCCCACAGAGAAAAAGTAAACTAAAAACGAGGCTATCTGAACAATCCTATAGATACAAGAGCACTTTAAAATTAATGGATGATGTCGTCATCTTGCACAGCAATAAAGGCAGAGATGATGAACTCACAACTTTTTCGTAAGGTTGTTTGTTCGTATGGCAATACTCTTTTTTATGAAAACTACACAAACATAGTCATAAAAGCAAATAGAGCCACACCTTGATGTCTAATACTACCATACATAATAACTTACCACAAGCTCTTTTTTACTAAACTCTTGTCAACACAGTCCTTGGGGATAAGACATCCATTAGCATTTACAGATAGTCGTGTTAATTTCTTTCTGCAATCAGAAGGATAAAAAGTGAAACATCAGTACAGTATGAATAAGCATGAAAATTTATTTTCAATATGGTTGATTGGCTTATATAAGACCAACAGCAAGTGTCTTCATTCAAGGGCATTGACCTGGTGATCATACCTCAACTAAAAACGCAACAGATTAATGGAAGCACTTAAAATAACCAGACTCTAGTTTTTGGACATTATCAGACTCTAGGGTTCCCCGAAAGAATTTCTTGCATTGGCATGATACAAAAGCCGAAAGAAAAGGAAACATGGAAAGAAACAATTGTTCCTTTAGGAAATTACAAAGTATAGTATGGTAATTTGAAAACAAAAATTGACGCATATCATAAGTATCATAATTCAAGCCATAGCCTATAGTTTTTACCATCAAGGAGTTTCCTCAATCATAACATTAGTTGCTAACAGGAACAACTTCCCTCTAATTGGAAGTGGTTCTCAAAGTATGAGTCCACACAGGAATCAATAACATGTCATACATCACATAATAAGACTGTTAGCAACAACTAAATAACTGGCTTGTGTGGATGATTCCTTCAAACAGAACATTTGCACAATATGAAAGGCTTTCCTGCTTCCAGCTAGCCTAGAACAAAGGAGCATCTTACCAATTGGCACATCACTTCCAAAATATATAAATAAAAAGGAGAATAAGCCACAATAATAACTTTCGATACAAAGATGATTCCATGACATAATGCATTAGGTGTTATGTTAAGAAACCTACTGAAATTTGATAATATGAGCCGTATTATTCTAAACACTGGGTTCTACATACTCTTGACAAGTCCATCTATCCATTTAAATCACTTAAACAGCAAGTATTTCCCAATGTGCATAGTGTACCAACTATATTTCAAACCTTGAATGGGGATTTAATTAGACACTGATACATGACCACACTGTACCTAAATTGGGAGGTGGCAAGGCTGCAAGTCAAACCAACAACATGTTCAGCTAATTCAGCTTCATCTATACACTGTCTTGAATGGACCTTAACAAAATGAGTTGTTAATTTTGACAGCACCTGTAACAAGAAGACAAATTTCGGATATCATTTCAAAAATAAGTGTTTATGTTTTGAGATCTTCTCTTAAAGTCTAGCAAGCAGAACTCCAAAGCTGATATGCATTGAAATTTGATGTCCAACAACCTCCTCAACAGGTGGACGTCTCCACCCACAATAATTGGTGGGGTTCTTGTAATTTCCTTGCTCCCTAACACAGTAACAAAAATGGATATTCACATCCTTGTAGTAGTGCATAAAGACTACCTTCAAAGTTAAAGATAAAGCTCCAATAACAGTACAATAATCAAGTTCAATGAAAGATAAACACAATAATGTCTTCACGGATATATGTGTAAATTTCAATGTCCAAGATAAGATACAAACTAGAACTCCAACAAGCAGGATCTAAAATGCAAACAGACAAGGTACAACATTTATTAATGGGCAAATTTAAAGACCACTTTACTATCTTGTATCCATGGCAAAAGTTTGTGCATTTAAAAATTGTCAGTGCAATTCTTTTTGATAAGAACAGAGGTTAACCACAGCATAAAAGACGGGCAACTGAGTATGTCAAAGAGGCAAAAACAAAAGAACTTGGTGACGTAAGAAAAGCAAGATAAATTCATCAAGCTTGACGGGGTGTCTATGAGGTGGCAGCAAGCCAGAAGCTCATAGAAAACACCCAACACATCCAGGCACAAGTTTCATTACAGGGCCACAATTGGAAGCATCCATTGATGGGGTATTGGTATCTTAGATAAATATTTTACGCAAACAGGTGCATACGATTTGCATCAATAACAAAAAGAAGAAGCATGATTAGGTGCAATCTATGAAGCACAGATACTTCATCAAGATCGACATAACTATATCAAATACGATACTCGTCAGATACTTGAGGATACGTATCGGAAACGCATCATATGTATCCGATAGTTAATAAAATATAGGTATACTTCGTGGATATTTCTATACATGAAGCAAGATGTACAATTTTAAATTTTAATCTATAACTATTCCTTTCGAGTTTACATACAATACAAAAATATCAGCAAAATTCAATTTGATTTTGAAAACACGAGTATTTTTTAAGCATTAACTATTATAACATAAAATGAGTTATTTACACTATAACCTTTTAAACAAATATTTGTAAGCAAATTAACTAGTTAAATGTTAGTTCTAATTCATTTGACCAGTGATGTTCACTTTATGTATATATCATAATAAGACGCTATTACACATTTTTAAAGATAAAATTTCCAATTTTGTTAACTTGTTAAAGAATTACTAAAAATTATAATTTTTAAGGTGTTCAATAACAGTAATATCCGTGTTTTCCCTAACCTTTAAATGTTGCTAAAACAACACAAAAACCCTAGATATTTGCAAAATGACACAATGACCCCTTTAGTTATAAAAAAAAAAAGTAATTGGCATATCCCTTTCATCATTAAAAAAAATTATGCCAACAAAAATAATGCATAAAATCCCAACACCACCCCTTTGATTCCTTGTTGGAACAAAATTGTTTTGTTTGCAAACGTACTCAACATTAGCATGAAATTAGTTTTCTTTCCTTCTTCTCCACTATTTCTCTACTTCTCTCCCCCCTCCCCAAAAAAATATACACACATCCAACCATACACCTCAATCACCATCACCTGCCTCGTCTGAATGAAACCACAAAAAGAAACCACAAAATATTTTTTATGAATGAAACAACATATTCAAAAATCAAAACCCCCCAAAAGAAAATATCAAGCAAAACCACAACGCACAACTACCAAATTTCATGTTGTTGGCACGATGATAGATGACATAGGGGAGAAGCAGATAAAAGTGTAAGGAGATTGGATTCCTCGGTTCGGGGATTGGGTTCTGCAATAGGGTTGGGAGTAAAGGGTTAAAGGGGAGATGCAAGGGTTTCGTCAGAGGGGAAGGTGTGTTTTGGGGTATGTGTTGAGCAAAAAGGGAGAATGACCAAGAAGGTGGGAAGAGGGCACTGACAACTCACGATTTGGGTACATCGATCCTAAACACGGTGGGTTCATAATTTAGATCACCAAAATGTATGACCTCAAATTATAATACTAACTCTAAATCGATTCGCTTTGGAAGATTTAGCATAAACATGAAATACATATTAATTGACTATATGCATATAGATTTATAATTATATATTATTTTAGATAATAGAAAATCATGCACAAATGTACGATAAATGATAATTGATTTAATATTTATGAATGTTCTATGATATATAATATATAGTAATGAAAATGATTTGGATAAATGTTCCAAAACGAATTTCAACCCAAAACACTGTATCAGTTAAGCCTACCCCAAGGATCAAAATGTCGTGTCGACACGTCCGAAACGTCTGAAACGTTTCGGAATTTCAACACTCCGAAACGAAACAGTAGTTGAATCACAAAATTCCAGTGTTTCGGTCGAAACGGTACTGTTTCGGACCGTTTCGATCGAAACGGCATTGTTTCGAACCGTTTCGATCGAAACAGTACCGTTTCGACAAAACAGTGATATATTCGGTTCATTATGAATAATTACATTTAATACCCCATTATAATTACATTTAATACCCACTGTAATTACATTTAATACTCACTATAATTATATTTAATATCCCACTATAATTACATTTAATTTCCACTGCTCTTCTGTCTTTTATAATTTTTTTGTTATAAGAATAAATAATTACACTTAATACCCTATTATAATTATATTTAATACCCATTATAATTATATTTAATACATACTGTAATTATATTTAATACCTCACTGCTGTGCAAGTTTTTTGCTTTTTTTTTTTGTTATAAGTATTAACAATTACATTTAATACCCTAATGTAATTATATTTAATACCTACTGTAATTACATTTAATACCCACTGCAATTACATTTAATTTTTAAGTATACATAAGTATCATTAATTTAATTTGATACCCTTCATTATTAGTATTATAATAAAATAGTATTATTAATTGGATTATATTACCGTAATAATATGATTTAGAGTAACTATTGTCATCATATTTATGTCACATATGGAGTTTCTCTAAGTAGCTACCCAGAGCCTACACCGATGTATGAGCCTGCTCGACACTCCACAGGGGAATGGATGTAACCATGTAAGTATGTACTCATTAGCATTTCATGTGTATTATAAGACCTTAATATTATGTAAAAATGTGTTTATTTCATAAAAATTAAGTGTTTGAAACTAATTTAAGTGACTTTCACCTCAAGTCAAGCCTTTTTTTCCCTCAAATTTAAATTTATTCTTGTATAAATTGATGTTAACCTAATAAATATGTTGAATTAATAAATTATTTAGCATATCTTTATAAATTAATGGATTGCATTTGTGTTTCTATGCGTTTCCATATTTTTTCTGCGTTTCCATTGCGTTTTCGAAATATTTCCGAAACGTTTCTATTTTTGAGTTGACCGAAACGGTACTTCGAAACGAAATTTTGATCCTTGGCCTACCCCCATTGTACAATGTACATATAAAAATATCGTTCCGCGTACCTATACCTGTACCACGTACCAAAGCGACCCACGATCTAGGTAACATCCAAACAACCCCCTAATCTGCACAAAAATAGTATATTCGCCTTCAATAGATCCCCAAACACTCTTAATAATCCTCCAATCTATCAGTTCCATTTTAGTTTCTAGCAAGACTACAATATCCGACCAACTATAACCAAAAAATTATTTATCTCACTTCTTTTCCTCAAAGATCCTAAAATTCTTACATTTCAACAAACAATCTTCATCAACAAATCAAAGCTCCCTCATTATCCTTTCTAAAGTTCTCACCCTCATAATTAATCTCTGAATATAAATTCTTCAATTCTTTAATCCCCTTGCTTTTCCTCTCACTTCTCCCACCTTCAAGTTTACTAACTTTCTTTTTGGATGGAACAAATGAAAAAATTCATCTTTTTAAGAAAATTTCTCAAATCACCCATTTTTCTTCATCAAACATAAAATAGTCATTAACCTCACTTTCACCCCTCCCATCTCTATCCAGTCTCCCTTTTCCTCTCCACTAATGACATAGAGTAGCCATGGTAGTAACAACTTCTAAATTCCCAGGAAAGAGATTAATTGTGGATGACCTATTATTTTTTTTTTTAAAATTATTTTATTATTTTTTTTTGGAAGAGGGGGAAGGGAAAAAGGAAGGAAGAGAAGACTTAAACCTTTGACCTCAATAAGTCAAAGTCTTTATAAGACAAGGAATACCATTAGACCAAAGGTCCATTGATGGTGACCTATTATTAGGACCCAAACTTAGACTACTATAACCAACTGAAGGGACTTCTAATGGGATAGAAACTAGTGCGTCCAAGAAAAACTTGGAATCTATTTGCTCATGGATAACCAACTCCTTCCCTGTATACACAAGCTCATCAGAGCATTTAGGCTCTAAGGTTCTCCTCTCATTACAAATAACTCCCATCCCAAGATTTGATGCCTCCCCATTACCCGACATGCCAAAACCAAAAAGAAAGGTGACATCCCCCGGAGCATATGCAGAAACCAAAGGTGAGCTTGAAAGGGGACAACTATATGCCTCAGGGCAGAAAAGAATAAGAGAGTTCTATTTACAGACCTTGCTTATCTTATGATATGCTTCAAAGCAGTTCTTAGGGCTATCCTCATTTTTAAAAAGAGTAATGGCATCCCCTAGTATGTCCTCAGAATTCAACGTAAATTCACATCTCAAATCAAACTTGAGAAATAAATCTTCTGAGCTACAATTGCCCTCCTCACTGTCTTCCACCTCCATAGATATATCTTGAATGTTAAAGTCGTCTACCTCAATCTCCAAAACTATCTTCATTTCTTCTTCATTTGCCTCAATATTTTCAACTTATTTTTCTCTGAAAATAGATTTTTCATCACTTCAATTACTTACAAGTAACCATCATTTCCTTTCAATGACCTCCTTTTTTCCATTTTTTTATGACGAATTCAAATCCGAGAATCTTAAATATGAAAATCGAGAATCATATTGAATTGTGAATCAAAAAATTCGACATAAAATTTAAACAAAAATAAAAAATAATATCTACATATTTAAAATAGGCAAAATATTGAATATTAAATATTATTGCATTCTAAAAATAATCAATTAACATAATCACATCATCTAAATGGAAAGTCATTACCCTTTTACTTCATTTTCATCTTTTCCTTAACCATTTTCAAATTTAACAACTTGAAAAAAAAATATTTATTAAAATAGTGACACCGAGAATAGATTAAGTTACAATTATGAATGAAAAAAGAACAAATAAGAAAATTAATTGGTAGAAAACATACATGCCAACATTTTAAGACAAAAAAATAGAAACTAAAATATTAACCATGAAAGAATTGAAAGTAAAAATCAAAATTTTTCTAAAATATGATGGCAGGAGATAGAAAAATCCAATGTAAAAAAAAATAAAAGAAAAAAAAGGGCAACTGGCATACCTTCAACCGATAATGCAAGAACTTTAGCCATGAGCTTTAACTTTAGACAACACAAGACCAGGCTTTAGACGACGTGAGAGAACTAGCAAAGAGGCTAAGTTTTTATTAGGGTGTGGATTCCTCAACAAACAAAACAACGTCATTTTACTATTTAGCGAACCAAACAACGTCGTTTGACCAAAAATCTAGATTTAAAAAAAAAAATAACTAAATCGTACAATACGAATCGAATTGTATGATTTAGGTGTGATTCATCTCTTAAAACGATTTTCATATAAGATACAAGTCGTTTTTGTGCCTGTATCAATGTTATTTAAGTCATAAAACGAATCGAAGCAAACCAGTCTCCTGAGGGCCTAGGCGAAAAGTGAGAAGTGAGAAACGAGCTCTTCATCGAAGTAAAGCGAACATTACAATATAAAAATAAGCAAGTATTTTAATTTGATACTTTGATTATTCCTAAATACTCAAGTTTTAACTTTACAAATATAAAATATTTAAATGCAACTAAAATAATAAACATTAACATATTTTAAATAGACAAAATATTAAATATTAAACATTATTGCATTCTAAAAATAATCAATTGACATAATCACACCATCTAAATGTAAAGTTAGCAAATGTGGGTTCGACTTCCACCATAATTGATTAATATCACCACTAAATAGGTCATTCACAAATTGATTAATCAAATAGAGCATATAGCAAATTGATTAATCAATTTAATTAACCAAACAAATTGATTAACAAGAGCATTCACATCAAAACAGAGCATTTAACATCATCTAATCATAATAAGATAGATTGTCATATGATATTGTTAGATGAATTAATCAATTTATTTTATATATATACACATATAACATCATCTCTGCTAGGGTTTGGTTTGGTTAATGTTAAGGAAGAAGAAGAAGAAGGATGAGGGGGAGAAAAAGCAGAAAATTAAGAAACTGTCAGGCGTTCGCTTTTCTCGCATGACTCACTTCTTCGCTTCGTCGCCTAGGCTCACGTTTTTATCGCTTTAATTAACCACGCTTCGCCCGAGATGTTCAAGGCAACCAAGGCTCGCTTCGCTTATCTTCGCTTCTCGCACCTAGGCTCGCTTTTCACAACACTAGTCTGTATCGAACCGAATCGTACGATTTTGATAACTATGCTTAAAAGAAATAGAGCTTGGGCTTTTAGTTGGATGGGCCACACTATTCCTTTAAAAGGCTAAACATTTTTAAACTTTGCCGAGCCCACTCTCCAAATTCCACTTAACCCATTGGAAATACCTAGCTCAACTACTTTGACTTCATCAATTTTATGGAAGCCCATCTTCTGAGGGCCCATATTCTTACAGCTATTAACCAGCTGTAAAACCTATTTAAAATTCAAATTACCACTCAAACCCCAATTACCTTGGTAATTAACGTATTTAAACGTCATTAACAGTCTGTTTTAGCACATTCCCAATAGTCATATCTTTTCTATTGTTATCCTTATTTCCACCTAACTTGTGTACACTCATACCTATATTTTTGCCACGTTCCTCTATCCCTCTTTTCATCGTCTTCAACTTCGCGAGCAATGTACCCAATTTGCTAAAACCTTCCCCCAACATCCTCATCTGTTCCTCACGACTGAAGTTTACAATCCAAGAAGGATGAACATAGATACAAGACAACTTGAGCACATCTACACAATTTTTCAAAAAAAGTAGGACACGAACACATTAAATAATATGTATATGTATATGTATGTATGTATATGTGTGTGTATATATAGATATAATCATGTGATAAAACAAAAATATTATCATAATAATCTTTCAATTCATCCTTCCCCTAATTCTAAAAATTCATATCATGATATCACTACATAAAAAATACAATATAAGATATACCAATAGACATTCAACATTAACATCTTTTGAGAGTATTATTATAATGTTGTTAGGGTTTACACTTAGTGTAATATATATACCTCACAGAATATTAGGGATATTGGACAACTCCTAAATCATTCTCTATGGGTGAAATAAACTTTCCTGGATGCAAACCACAACAAATGTCCATTTCTCGAACTCTCTAGAGATAACTGCATTCCTTCGATAGTACTAGAGTCCTTGTGACAATAATAGAATGTGCTTTCATTCCTCCTTCATAATTCTCCCCTGTAAGAATTCTATTCCCCTGCTAAAAATCTGAATTACCTTTTCAAACAATCTCTGAAAAGATTTCCATCCTTTTCCTTCAACACCCTTTGGAATGATCAAACCCATCCTCCTGCCATTAGTCAACAACTTAGTAACTCAAACAAAATCTCCAAATGTTTCTCAAAAACATCTCCTTTCTATTCCATTGCATAGCATAAACCCATTGATTCGTTCAACCATGTTAACCTTCCTCTATTGAATCTGCAAGCAAACAATCCAAAACAATTCAACTCCGTAACACGAATCAACTCTCCAGACAACCCTTCAAAATCCACAAAAATGTTTTTGCTCAACAGAAATCTCTCCTAAATGCCCCGTATTTCAATTATGCACCTGTCTTTCTCAAGTCAATGTACTCCTCTTGTTTATGAGGGCATAGCAAACTCCACTTCTACGCAGGTGGATTATTATAATATTGGGTGTTGTTTAGCTTAATTACACATATGCTTTATGGTTTCTAGAGATTTAATAAAAAAAATTTACTACCAAAATGTGCTCATGTACAGTGAGGTGCATTGCTAGTATAAACAGAAGGACAATAACTGGGGCCACAAACCTTTTATTGATATATGCCATGAGTCGATTAGTAAGGCAGCAAATTGTATGAGTTGGATAATGACTTCGAACACAGGAAACATGAGTCATAAGGGATTCATTCATGACAAGGTTGCAGAACTCTTCGGCTTCATATACGAGTAACACATATTGAATTTCGATCCTCTCAGACGAGAGCTGCGATACAAAGATGACATCAACATCTCTCAAAACGCAAGCAAAAAGTATACTTTTTAGCATTTGGAATCCCAACAACAAATTGTGGATGGCAAAATTGAGACCAGCAAGTCAAATCCAAATTGTACAAAACAACAGAGAGATCTTAATAAATAAAGGACAGTAAACGCATAGAACAAATAAATTGAAAAACTAATGGAAATGGTACAAACTGAGTATGACACTTCCTCAAATAGTTTGTACATAAATATGTAGAAGACAATAAGACAACCAGCACAAAAAAACAGCCCTTGATGACAATCAACAAAGATCCTTTTCCTCTATTTGATCTTTGAATTGAAGTAGATACAACAACATTATCAAATTCTCTATATCATGCATATTCAATTTTCTGTGAAGCTCTCTTTGGTGAAGGGTTCAAAATCCACCCCTACTATATAAATTCATTAGCTCCACTTCACTTATTCACAAAATGAAATTTTGTAATTTGGACAGAAGGCGCAATGGTGCAGAACAAAAGGAAAATGGTGCTCAAAGATCGTAGGCGTACAGAAATTTTCATTAAATTATGCCCATTTACGACCTGTGAAATTTGTTCTGGAACAGCCATTGTCCACACAATAGATCGTTCAATTGGGTTTGACGTTATACGATATGTAAGACCTTTTTCTGCAAACCTTGTAAGCAGATGTCCTGAATTATGAAAGCAAAGGAAGTGTCAGCACATTACCAGAAATGGATATTGAATTGCAGAAATAAATATAGGCAGTGTATAGAAAGGCCGTGCCTCCAACTGAACCCAGTTCAACTATTTTAGGGTCAATTTCAGCCACAATTGATTTTAAAGCAAACTTCCCCTTTTCCCACTTTTGCCTTTCTTTTTGTAGTTTTTTCATCTCCACAGCTTCAGCCCTCAGAACTTCTTTTTGCAACTTTTCTTGCTGTATTGTGCATATAAATCAGGTCATATATCTACAAGGCATATTTTAAGCTCAACTAAATACTAACAGGATAAAGACTTACTTCCTTCTGTTGTTTTTTTTCTTCCTTTAAACGGACTCTTTCTTCCTTAGATATCCTCCTTTTTCCTATTGCTTCATCCATGTTCCTTTTCTTATATGCATTATCTTTACATTTACCTTTCGGTCTCAAGACATTATCTATCAGCTCCAGCCTGTCAATTTCTTGCTCCGGACAATAAGGTACCTGCAAAGGACTTCATCAAACCATTGCAACACATATAATAAAGGACAAATTATAGATTTCGTGTAATTTCCCCCCAATACACATCGCCTCCCTATAGTTCAAAAACTTGCATGTAATCCTTGTGCTTTTGGACCCGAGCGAAATCTTTAGATTTTTCATCCGAATTGACAGAAGTTAGCTCGATGCTGCTAAAAAAGTAATATTAGTGTGAGGGAAATTTTAATGACCAAAATACCCATTCTACTATGCCCACCACCACTGCTATCCCTTGTATCCCCAAAATTCATTGAATATCATGTACTTTCACTTCTTCTGCACAGTTGTTGGCATTGACAATGTTGGTGTTGCTCTTATGGTTGTAAGCCTTTCTATTAGCAACACAACCATTTAATCGTCACGAATACCTTGATTTTCAGAGAAGAATCACAATTGTCATCAGGAACATAGCTCACTTAGAGAGAGAGAGGGCAGAAGGGAAGGGAGGGAGGGTGCACAATTTTCACAAGAGATGAAAAAATACACTTCTTTTTGGAGAGAGCATTCAAAAGCAAAATAAAGATTCTTAGTAGATTGAATATAACACCCCAGTGGAGACCTAGAGATTCATCTCCAGCCAGCTCTTTCTTCATGACTTCATCTAATCAATAAGTTTTTTTACTTCAATTAATTCTTGTGGATGACCATTATTTGTCAATATGTTGATTTTAAAATTTTTCAAAGGAGAAACAATCAAACAAAAACAAAACACCAGATATAAGCTATATTTGTTGAGTTGGTAAAATAGTGTTCCTTTTACGTTTTTCTAATCCAAAATACAACCAGTGTGATGGTATTGAGTGTGTGTGAGTGTTTTGCACGCCTGAAATACACTTCTCTGTCTTGCTCACACTCTAGACAAGTGCTGCACAAGCCTATGCAACTCAAGCAAGGTTGGGTGGGTTGAAGGCTCAAACCAAGTAAAAAAATCCGCAAACCGAGCGCAACCCAACCCAACGCAACTGTCAACTTGAGCACCTTCAACCCAAGCTCAACTTCATAATTAGATATTTGAACTCGAGTTGAGTTTCAGGTTTCCCATCAAGTAAAACCAAATTTAAGCCAAAATAGAATTTTGCATTCAAACCCAAAATTGAACCTAAAGTTTATATATAGTTTTCACATCACTCGCAACTAAATTAAAAACCAAAATGAAAAAATTTTAACTATACAATAGGGTCAAACATTAATATCCATTTCTCCTCCCAAACTGTCTCAACGCAACAATCAATGTACCAAAGAACATAATGAGACAAAGTGTGAAAGAGAATAACCTTGTGATAGTAAGCAATGGCAAAGAGCACTTCAATAGTGAGGAAGTTAACACCAACCACCAAAAGCTTGAAGTCCTTAAATGACTCAGAAAGCAACTACAAGGTCTCATTAGCCACCACTAGTGTCTTGAGAGTTGAGCGTAATCTCCTCCAACCACCGGTACACCCTAGTCATAGACATCCCTTTCATCAACAGATCCAAGGTCTGGTTTGGACCGAGACATGATGATTGATAATGGATGAGTGGACGGTGGTGCGCTGGTGCAACATGAAAGAAAGGGGGAGAGAGAGAGAGAGAGATAATGCGAGGATTGAATTTGAGAAAGGGAAAAAAGAAGGTGTGAGTCTTTGAGAATGAATAAGTAACAATAGTGTGGCACAACTCCCTAACATCGCATGTATAGCAATAATTCTTCGTTTTCTAGTCCAATTTTGGGTTGAAATCAGGTTGATTTTATCATTTCAATCTGGGTTCAAGTTGGACCCAATCAGCCTGAAGCCTCAACCGAAATATTGCCCAAGTTCAAACTGAGTTGAGGTCTTTTTGCCCACGCCCAAACCAAGAATTGAAACCCTATGCAAAGTACTGAATTTTTTGGGTCAAGTTCGGATTAGCCCACCAAACTTACACCCCTGCAGAGCAAGCTAGAGCACATGACTACTAGAGACAAGTTCAACTACAAAGAAAAGAGAAACAAAACAAGTTCTCCCAAGACATTTGCTTCAGGGAAAAAAAGTCAAAACAGTATAACATTTCATCTCACTTCTCAGGTTACAAAAAGTGACAAGGAAGAGTGATCGTCATTCCATATTTTCTATAGGGAAAAATTCACTCCCTTTATTAGAATTAGCCGCCTACACACACTATCTGTCGCACTCACATAAGTAAATAATTTATTAGTAAGTTGCCCTGCCCAATATAAATTCTTTCTATTAAGCATGTGTGTATATGACAATGTCTTTCTTAGGATGCTTTCTCTAAAATCCCAATTATTGAGGGTGTGTGTAGCGGCACATCTAGACGGACTTTTGAGTTCTAGAAGTCCATTTAAAAAAGTTTGTTCCATTCTATAAGAGTTTGAAAAGTTAGGGCCTGCTTGGTTTGCGTTTCAAAAAATAGTATCCGAAAACAGTTTTAAGAAAGTAGTTTTAATATTTTTTGAGATAAAAAACTTATTTGGTTAGATGATTTCAAAAATAATTTTACAATATAAAAAATAGTAAAACCTGCTTGGACAGCCTAAATATATATTTGAACAGTAATTCAAACATTAATAAAAAAATATAAAAAAGTAATTTTTATATTGACAATTTCATAATATATATAAATTTATACGTATTTATATATATAAATATAAATGTATATATATATAAACATATATATATATATATATAAATTGGTATATATCCTGTATATAAAAATATAGGATATAAATAGGATATATATACCCATATATATAAATAAATATATATATATATATATATATATTATAATCTCTAATATATATTCATATATATCCTATATATATGTATATTTATATATATTTATACATATATTTATATATACCAATTTATATATATATATAGGATATATATACCCATATCTGAACATTCAAAATTGTTCTCCTTATTTCCCAAATTTTCAAAGAAAACTCTGAAAACATGCTACACTTATTTTCTGTTTCTTTAACTCAAATCTCATTTTTTCCCAAAATTTAGAGAACAAAAATGCTAAATAAACAGGTTTTAGGTGTTTTCGAAATTTTGAGAACAAAAAACAGTTTTAGAAAACTAAATCAAACATGGCCTTCTTGGCTTCTCAAAATGGTCCTAAAATGACTTCCCACGAAGTTGTTCTTTCCCTTTTAAACGATTAAATAAAATTCCAACATTAACCCTTGCTAAAGCTAACTTAATGTCTATCTTACCCTATATAGGGACTCCAACACCATTCCCATCAATGGAGCTTCTCAAAATTGTCTCCTTTTGAATTCTTGGATTGGTTAGCTAATTTAGAAGAATACTTTGATTGGCATGACATGTCGTAATCCCATTGCGTCCGTTTTGCTAAATTGATGTTGGAGGGTTCCGCTAAACAGTATTGGCAAGCAATCCAAAGAAGCCTAGATAGATTATTTATTTGTTTTAGAGTTTGTACTCTAATACCAAATTGATATAAATCGTATTAGTTTTGATACCAAATTGATGTAGACTAGGAAGGGAAGAATTAGAGATGAGAAGAGAAGAAGAAAGAGATGAGAAAAGAGAAAGAATTTGAAGAGTATTCAATAATAATCAAAGTCTAATTTAAATAAAATCTTTTCATGCATCCTTTTATATAGGAAAACTAAACCCTAAAACAAATAAATAATGACAAATAAACCCTTAAAAATTAAAAAAAATTACTTAAAAGAAAAATATTAAAAGTATCTAAATAACTCTCATAACTAATTTATAATATTTATCCAATTCCTACATGATCCCCATCACCCTAAACTCACTACTGGCCCACCCCAATATTTTATTTCCACTCTCTCTCACACATTCTCAATCGACATTCTTCTCTCCCAATCGATGTTCTCTCTCTTCTTTCGGTCGACGTTCTTTCTCCCTCTTCTTTCAGTTGATGATGGGTGCTCCCTCACTCATACAGGCTCCCTCTTATTGAATCACAGTCGACTCAACGCTCCTCCAATTGAGCCACAGTAGACATCTCACAGATCTAGGCTTAGATCTCAACAAAGAACTCAACAACAATGGCCATCCGATAATAAATCTCTCTTTGTCTTTTATATATATATATATATATATACGCTAATCATAAAATTCGAACATCCAAAAAATCAATCTCATTATATTAAATAATAAATTTTCTTTCCTTCCTTTCTTTGATTACATCATTTAAAATTAATTTTTACCCATTCTTTTCTAAAAAAAATTGACAAAATTTTCTTAAAATACCTAATATACAAATTTTCTTAACATGTGTATACTAACATATATGAATAATGTGTGCAAAAAAATTTCGTTAAATTATAAATTAACCAAATATTAAATGATTGAACATGTGATAGAAATAGGCGATGTGATTTTTTTTGGGAAAAAATATGTAAGAAATAAAAATTCAAGGTGCTAGGTATTTTCTTAGATAGATATAACCCTAAATCACCCATACACATTTGGTTTTAGATTTATTTTTGTGTCTTGTGTTTTTGGTGAATTTTTTATTTCTTTTCAGGTTTTTGTTTGGATTTTTCAACTAATTTTTTTTTTTTTTTGCTTCGATCCACTTCCGCTCCGCCTCCAGCAAGCAGAATCAGAGACGGAATTATAGTTGGTCGAAATCTGAGGGAAAAATGAACTCTGACTATAGTCAAAGTCGGAGTTCGGATCTATGCTTTCTAACTTCGTCGAAGTTGGTGCCCACCCCTAGCACCACGCGCAACTTGAACTTCCAAAGGAAGCACTTCCCTACTCCTTTCTCATACACATCTGAACATAACTAACGAAAACTACAAACACAAAAATTTTAAATTTTACATCAAATATAATTCTTGACACAAACTTATTCTAGCGTCAGCATAAACGAGTCATAAAAAACTAATTATCACCAGGAGGCAAACTTAGATATACAAGTGGGTGCACATATATACTCCAAGTCTCATATTTACGACATTGATCCAGAGAAAAAAGGAAATCAAGAAAAATTCACCAACTGCTTCTAAAGAACAAATAATAGCAATAATAAATGTCAATATCATTATGCATCAAGAGGTAGTACCTGAACAATATCATCTTCAGATGAATTTGGATGTGAAAAACTATACCCGAACACTTGCGCTACATGAACATTCCCCGTTAAAATTTCTTGTGTAACTTCCCTAAAGGCATCTGAAGGTCAATTCCATATAATGAACAGTTTATTTCAATTTTTTCTACTTTCATAACTCATGACCGCACTCAGACATCACCACAACATTCATATAATCAGTAGATGGGATAGGAACTTACCAGATGGCAATCTGGACTCGATATATCTAGAGCTCAAATTGGAATCCTTTGCAACTTCAGAAGCAATAATCAAAATTAGACCTTTCACTTTTCCTTTTTCACTTTCTTAATTCATGACTGCATTCAGAGATCACCGCCACAAACAAAGAATTCACTAGATATAACATCAACGTACCAAGGGGAATTGTCAATTCTATGGAATTCAACATTGTTTCATTCTGCTTCCACGTTTCATTCATAGAACCATTTTCAGAGTCATTATCGGACTCCAAGCATATCAATCCATTGATACCTAAGAGGAAAAAAATTACAACTACATTAGTCATTAGAATCACACTCCAAATCAAATTTAACAAAAATTCTTCAAACAAAAGTTATGTGTAATCCCTATTTGACTACTAATTCATGAAAACCTTAGCTTAGTATCTTTAAAAGTTTTAGCTTAGTATCTTTAAATGTTTTAGCTTAGTATCTTTAAAAGTTTTTTCAACCATAATCTGAATTGACATTAAAGATGTCAGATCTGGAGCAAAAGCAAATTCTGATCCGCTCGAGTGATGCACTGCAGGTTCGAGTCCAGAGTCGGCCTCTCCAAAATGGTTTGAGGTTGCTTACCACTTACCTTCTTAGATCTCACCATATACGGCAGCCTTGAACAATGGGTATAACCTTACAATCTTTTAATTTTGAATCATCACTAACCATAAAAAACGTGTGTACTCAAAATTAACCATTTCGACAAAACTAACCAGTAATTCGATGACATAATCAAACCGGTGAGAGATAACACCAGCAACGATAAATGCATAGAATCTAGTAACAACCAACTCCCAATAATATTATGCATAATTTAGACAATAACAACATCGCTAGAT